TATCCTTAATTTAAAATGAAATGCACAAATGCAGTGTTACAAACGTACATTTTTACTTTAGAATAAAACTGCATGCACAATTTTTTGACCATGCACTGCACTGGAGCACACAGCATTGCGGTACCATGCGTTCGAGTGCGGGCAATCACACTGTGGGTGGAAAGAGCGTTTAGAGTGCCATTGAAATGAATGGCACTGCAACGTACCTCCCGCAGCAGAATTTGTCTGGCCCAAACTGAAAGACTTTTCCCCCCCAACTTTTTATAATTGTTTAAAAAAAAAAATAATAATAATTGTTTGGTAAGCACATGATGCTTTTAATAGCTTCAGCCAGGGAATGACAGCTGCCAGTGGCAAGATTCCCGCAGACAGCAGGAGAATGTAAATACAGCAGGTAGTGGGCTGTTGCAATAGCCAGTCTGCTATTGGCTATTTCAAATTGCAATAGCAGGCTTTCTATTGCACTCACCCACTGCTTGCTGTACCCTCTTCCTGTATGGAGGAGAGCTCTAGGGTATCCAACCAACTAATCGATAATGAGAATAGTTGACAACTATTCTCATTATTGATTAATCGATTAGTTGGTTGCAGCTCTAATGCATTGCTTCCAGCAGAAGGCTCTGAGAAGGAAGGCTCTGAGAGTTGTGACAGAAGTAAGTGCATGTTCACAGAAAGAGTGAATTGTGTCAGTACGTTAAGGAAGGACATCTTATGAAAATCTTCAATAAGTAAGTTTATACTTCTAGATCGATATGGTTATGAGGAGTGAGATAGGACTTATGGAAATTCCATATAGAAATACATTTTTTTTTTTGACCATAGATGACCTTTAATTGCTCACTTGTTGTGTTTTCCATAAAATATTGCTATTCACATCCAACGAGCCTTTGAACTTGCTAGTTCCCTAGCACGGCCATAGTTCCCTCTCCTTGCTGCTTTCATAGCCCTTTCTGTATTCCACTGTTTTTTTTATTGAGATATTCCAGCGCTAAGAAAACACAATAAGGCCTTGTAAAAGGATATGCACTCATAAAAACAAGGAAGGACAGGTGTTAGGTTCGTTATGTATCATTTGCACGATATTTAAGGTAGAAAGGTCACAAAGAACTTCAACATATAAAAAGTCCAGCTACAAAAGGCATGTAGATAAATGGTCATTGAAAAATGTAAAGCGCATATATCTCACTCAGTAATCAGGATGTAAAAATAGAAACGTATAGCAGAGGAAGGGGCACAGGGGCTAACTGCATGGTGGCAGACTATTAAATAGTTTTGATACTAAGAGTCCCATTTGTTATGAATTATGACTTTGAATCATGGATAGTATGAAAGTTTTATACTAGCACCAGGGAGTCCATTCTAGATCAAACTTGGGACCAATTGAGAACACCAATTCTAAACTTTAACCCATTGATGTCAAAGCTTTTTCCTCTTCTGGTAGTGTCTATTTACTGTTTGTGCTGGCCCAGATGCTCCACCCCTCACCTCCCTTCATAGCCTTTTATGTAACTGTCGGCGGAGGAGCAAAGGGGAATTCTATAAGTGACTGCTCTGAGGCTGACATCACATCCGAGATGGCAGTGCCCCATAGTAGTCTTAGGCCTTTTGGTTGTATACACAAAGGAGGATTTTAGAACTTGATAACATCCATAAAATACATTAAAGGACAATCATTTTATGGGAAGATTGCTGTTGAAATGAATAGTCTGGAGACGGGGACTCTTTAACCACTTCAGTATAGGCATTTAATACCCCTTTCATTACCAGGCCATTTTTCAGTGCAAGGTTGGCTGAGAATTCCTGTCATGCAACACTAACAAAATGTATTTTATATAATATTTTCTTTAAATGGTATTTTATGACCATTTTTTTTACTTTTTTTTTTTTTACTATATAAAGTAATAGACCAAAAAAATAAAAAAAAATGCATATTTTTCTTATTTTTTATTTGCTATCATTCATAAACAAAATCAGGACAGAATGAAAATTTCCCGAAATGACCCTTTTTTGGAAAGTTTGAAAGGTGATCTGATTTTTTTTTTGCTGGAATTTTTTGGAAATTTAAGAAACATGTCGGTATTGAGGAGGTTAAAACATGAAGCTTGGTAATAATGCACAAGATACAATAAATGTACAGGTCAGACATAGACAGAGGGAGGAGGGGTCAAAGGGTTATTGTACAGGTCACATACAGTGGGAGGATTTGACTGACATTTATTCTGTCATACAACGCTGTACTGAAATTAATTTTATACAATTTTTGGGGAAAGACAGAGCTTTCTTTTGGTGGTATTTAATCACCACTGGGGTTTTTATTTTTTTTCTATATTTCAGAAAATTTACTGAAAATTTTGAAAAAAAAGTGTTTTACATTATGTTAGGAAACAATTATTATTACCCAATTTTTTGGTAAAATATAAAAGACTGGGTCACGTCGGGTAAATAGACACCAAACATGTCAAGCTTAAAAATTGCGCGCACCTGCTGAAAATTGACCATAGGCGACGCTTTAAAAGCTTTTACCGCTCATTAGTTTAGTTTTATCAGTGATTTGATGGCCCTAAAATTATCGCTCTCACTGCGACGTTCGCAGCGTTATGGGCGCAATCATCGTTTTCACAGGTATGCGCAACTGACGCATGTTTGCATGCGTGTATGTATGGGTGGGGGCTTTTAAAAATGTTTTTTGTTTTTTTTATTCTTTTTTATGTGTGACTTTAATTTTATTTTGGAAACTTTAATTTTTTTTCCTATTTAAAAAAAACAAACTTTATGGCTATCACACAGGGGGCTAAGAAACCCCTCTATGTGATAGCAAAGGATGTGGCAGGTCCTCTTTATGGAGACATCAGGGGTCTCCAAGACCCCTAATGTCACCTAGGACCCCCCTGAAGAAGCTGATGAAGCACACATCTGCTTCATCAGCTTCTCTCCAGCGTCTGAAGCTGGAGAGTCAGGAAATCACCAGCACTCGATAATGGAAATAAATATGTCCCTTTTTTATTGGACAAAAGCGTCACATTAATCAATTATTAAAAACACACCCCCAGTGACGTCATAATGGCGGCAAAAACGCCATATTTAAAGATCAAGAAATGACAGCAAAGCAGACAACAAAAACAAAATAAGTACTTTTTTGCCGCCATTATGACGTCAGTGGGGGTGTGTTTTTTAATAATTGATTAATTACAGGGTATATATATGTGGTGTATGATGGTCATTATATTGTCACGTTTTCTGCCTTGAGGAAGGGACCCTGCGCGGCCCCGAAACGTCGGTTCTTTTTGGATTTCTGTGATGATTTTGTCCAATAAAAGGGACATATTTATTTTCATTATCGAGTGCTGGTAATTTCCTGCTTCTCCTGTGTCTGCATGGCGCCATCCGTGATCAAACATCACTGCGAGCACCACTTTTTCTTATTTGGCCGGGAGTGCTGTGAGGTGTGCGGAGGGCTCCTCCAACGGCTTACATCTAAAGCTGGAGAGTGACACAAGAATGCGGAAGTGATGTAATATACATCACTTCCGCATTCTGGCAGCGGAGAGGGGACCGGAGGGAGCTCGTGTACCGAGCTCCCTCGGATCCCGTGACGGAGGCCGTATGCTGGTCCTGGGCTCGCACCAGGCACAGCGGAGCCCGTGACTGGCGTCACAACGGAGGGGGGTGGGGGGGACATGGGCCGGCAGCTCATACAAGCAATCCGCCGGCTATAGAGCTCGTATGTTAACGGGCATCGGTGCCTGTTTTTAAATCGCTGGTGTTTTCCGCTTGTGCGCGCCCAGGTGGGCGTGGCTGAACGGACGTCTAAAGACGCCCGCTCAGATCTAGAGACCTCTCGGCCGGCCGTTTTTTTACAATGGCCGGCCCTGAGGTGGTTAAAGAAGATGTCTCGGGAGAGTAAAATATACTGTTCCCAATATTTAGAGCCGCTTTGGGAAACTGAAGATGTCGCGCTCCGGCTCTATACCGAGAGCACAGCGATCATGAAGCGCTGATCACTCGGCTCACAGCTTCTCCCTGCAAAGAGCGGGGACTGTCATATTTCCCCGCTCCGTATTCTCTACTGCTCACTGGAGGGACAAACGGGAGCGGTGGTGGGATCCTTTGTCAGGATGTTGGGATCCTTTTCTGGCTGCAGCATGGCTATGCACGGTCAGCAAATAGTGGGCAGTAACCTGATAAATGCTGACTTTGGGTGACAGGAGTAGAGTAGGCAAAGATTAGAACCCCTGTCACGTTCTTATTGCTGTATCTCCACTAGGGAGATTTACCACTCTATATTTTCTGGGCATCATTATCACTGGAAAAGAAAGTGATTGGAAACTCCAAAATTTTGAGTTACCACTACAACCGCAATTGTTTCGGTTACAACGGTCTAAGAGTGGGTTCCCCTCACTTTGTAATTTTTTCCTCTCGTTTCCTGTAGCTAAAAGACAGGAAGTTAAGGGAAATCTGCCTTATGGAACAAAACCTTAATAGGGGTGTTAAGTATTCACTGTTGCATTTAAATAAAAAAAATCTCTAGATTTAATTTAAGGACTGGTTCAATCAAGCTCTTTTTTCCATGCATTTTGCCATTCATGCTAAAAAAAAAAGACAGATAAAGATGAATGATTTTCAATAGGACATGCTTGACATTGTGTTGGGGGAAAGGTGCTGCACATTGCCCCTTGTCGTCCTATTTAGCTCTACAGAATGGGATCATTCATCACCAACATATGTCAATGCAAAAACCATAATTTAGTTTTGGTGTATTGTTTTGCTCTGGAGGTATGTATCTATACTTTTTATGTCGCTGACCTGAATCATGCATGTAGACATGTAGATTAACTCCTGCTGTGTGCACTTTTTTTTAGTATACAGGTCTTTGCAGCAGAAAATTTATGCTTTAAGCAGCTTGTGTATTTAAAGATACCTGAACTGAACCTTGATGTTATTGAGACATTTCTAGAAAACCTTTAATATTAATTGTTTTTTTTTTCCTTTTCTATTTACAGACACACGTGGGAAGCAATAGACGATGATAGAGAAGTGCACTACATAATCAACATCTGTGAAAACCTAAAAGCGAGCGATTGTGGAGGGTTGGCCAGTTTTGTTTGTGCTCATGATATCAGAAAGAATACTTCTCAGCCCGTCGGTAAGACTGTTTATATTAATGTTCATTTTGATGTTGCAGTGTCGCTTATTTCTTAGTGTAGGGGGCAGTATTGTTTAGTGCATTTTAATATATTTTGATTTGTCTTTTTCAACACAGGAATTGTACTTGTGCAAAGTGACAATAATGTGCTTGTGTATAACACTTCTGTGCGCTGTCCTGGATCTGACCATACAGCCCAAAGTATTATTAACCTAGTGTGTGGGAAATCTCTGGTAAGTATGTTCTCTACGCATATTTCTATTGTGTGGAACTTTTCCTTTTAAATGTAATTTTACAGAGTTATATGATTATCATACAAGAAATAACCAGAAAGCCACCAACAAATGAAGTACTGGTGCAGAAAATATAAGGGATTCATTGCACTTTGTATGAATCTTTCATAGGTTGAATCGTATCACCATTTGTGAGAACAAATATAAAAACCTGATAAGGAAACCGTCTCTAAACATACTATAAATAGTCATCTCAGAGTTGCCAAACAGAAATGTATAAGTTAGACACAGACGAATTAGTCTAGTGCTTTTATAAACCTTCCTCATCTCTCAAAAACACATTCTTAGTGGTTATCTGCAGAGGTAGCTAAATCCCATTGCTGAGTCACTATTTCCTTCACCTATACAAATTTGAGGTCACCTGTAAATTATGCATAGTTGGAACACGATGCCAGTTTGGGAAAGTTGCCTTATTTGAACATCTACAGGGATTGCATACACAGGCATTTGTTGTTTTGTTCTTTTTTGGCTTCTGATGTACTTTTGTGAAGTGGGTAAATAAATTGTGCTAATGTTCTAAATACCCTTTTTCAATTTATAGTTTTATAATGATATATGCAAGAGGGCAGCAGCGTTTGCGAATTACCTAAGCTGGCTCTGCTTCCTCCTTCATTGCAGTACTACGTGATAGTTGACTTTGCTGTTCCTTACCATAGTGTCTATAAGTGGTCCCACCCTATGACAACAGTGCACTTCTTCTACAATATTGAAATCTCAACGCAAACCTGAGGGAACATTCACCCGGAAAATACAATCTGGTTTACATAAAGCATACAAATATTTTTTCCATGTATATATTTGAATTCTTTTTTCAAATAAAAACTTTTTCAGATAAAGGCAATAAACATAAAGGGTGTTATTTGTATATATATATATACACCCAGCTGGCTTTTTATCAGTTTCCTGTTGGATAGTGCAGCCAGCCTACATGAATTTTATTATTAGCTGATTAGGGCTGCAACTAACGATTATTTTCATAATTGATTAGTAAGCCGATTTATTAAGTTCGATTAATGAGTAGGGAGGAGTGGTATGATGCAGGAATAGGGAGGATGGGTATGATGCAGGAATAGGGAGGATGGGTATGATGCAGGAATAGGGAGGATGGGTATGATGCAGGAATAGGGAGGATGGGTATGATGCAGGAATAGGGAGGGCGGGTATGATGGTGGAATAGAGAGGACGGGTATGATGGTAGAATGGGGTGCAGGGAAGGAGAGGATGGGTATGATGGTGGAATGGGGTGCAGAGATGGAGGGGATGGGTATGATGATGGTGGAATGGGGTGCAGAGGACGGGTATGATGGGATGGAGTGCAGGGATGGAGAGGATGGGTATGATGGTGAGATGAGGTGCAGAGGACGGGTATGATGATGGAATGGAGTGCAGGGA